TTGGGCTGCAACAGGGACAAACCCTTGGATCAGCCAACTGCAGGCACTGGGGGATCCCAGGAGTTCCCAGCCCGGCCTCGACGGCTCCCAGGGAAGCCGAAATTCCGGGATCCTGCAGGGTTGGCGGGGGGGGTCAGGAAAGGATTTTAATGGAGGGGTTCGTGTGTCCCTGGAGGAGCGGATTTGGGAGGGGGGGAACGGATTTGGGAGGGGGGGAGCAGACTTGGGATGGATTGAGTGCTCCCAGGTTGTTTTGTGTCCCTGGAGAGCAGATTTGGGATGGAGTGAGTGGATTTGGGAATTTGGGATGGGGTGAGCCCTCCCAGGCTGTTTCGTGCCCCTGGAGAGTGGATTTGGGAATTTGGGATGGGGTGAGCACTCCCAGGCTGTTTCGTGCCCCTGGAGAGCAGATTTGAGACAGGGGGAGCAGATTTGAGATGGGATGAGCACATTTGGGACAGGATGAGCAGATTTGGGATGGGATGAGCAGATTTGGGATGGGATGAGCACTCCCAGGTCGTTTCGTGCCCCTGGACAGCAGATTTGGGAATCTGGGATGGGGGTGAACCCTCCGAGGCCGCTTCCAGACTCCAAACCAGACTCCGTGACGTCCCGCTCCGCCCAGCACAGACCCCAAACCAATTCCACAGCAGATTCCTCCCCCCCCCCAGCACCTCCTCCCCTCTCCAAGGAACTCCCCCTCCCAGCCCAGCAGGTCCCCCCCGGGGCGGGCTCACCGTGAGGGCCCCGCCGTGCCAGGGCGCGGTGCCCATCCTGTCCCTGCCGCGCTGCCGGCCCATCCCGTAGGGCGCGTTCCCGTAGCGCCCCATTCCCATGCCCATCATGCCGTAGTCTCCGTAGTCTCCGTAGTCCCCGTAATCCCCGTAGTCCCCGTAGTCTCCGTAGTCCCCGTAGTCCCCGTAATCTCCGTAATCTCCGTAGTCTCCGTAGTCCCCGTAGTCTCCGTAGTCGGGAACCAGCGCTTGGGAGAAGAGGGAGGGCAGCCGCCCGGCTCCGGCTCCGGCTCCCGCTCCGGCGGCGGCTCCGGCGCCGCCCATGCCGCGCGCCCCCAGGTAGTTGAGCTCGTTCCACCGCGCCGACAGGCGCTCCGAGCTGGACGAGCCCAGGAAGGGCTCGGGGCGGCCGAAGGCGCCGAGGCGGCCGCGGGGCTGGCCCCGGCTCTGGCCGCGGCCCCGCAGGAGCCCGAAGCCGTTGTTGCCGCCGCGGCTCCGGGGCTGGTCCCGGCGCGAGTCGAAGTGGCCGCCGAAGGAGTCGCCGCGCTCGGCCGTGGCCTCGCCGTAGTCGGCGTAGCCGGGCCGGTACAGGTCGCGCTCGCTCAGCGCCGAGCGGGACTCGTACGAGTCGAACGACTCGAAGCGGAAGGAGCTGCCGGGGGGGGAAGGACACGCTCAGCGCGTGCAGTCGCTTCCCTCAGGCCCTTCCCAGCCTTTCCCAGCCCTTCTCATCCCCTTCCATCCCCTCCCAGCCCTTCTCATCCCCTTCCATCCTTTCCCAGCCCTTCTCATCCCTTTCCATCCTTTCCCAGCCCTTCTCATCCC